AAGTGCTTTAGCAAAGATCTGTACTGAGGGGATACTTTTCTTGACAGACAAATGATCGAATGGAGACCACTCTGTACTGCAGTTTCTTATTTTGTTATCAGATTTAGGCTAGAATATGTCTGGAGTATTGGCTCCGGTCTGCTGGATTCAGTACAGAGATTAAACTTTCATTGGCGCTAAGTCCGCTGTTAATGTCTACAGTGTGTCAGCCACCAGTTTGAACACACAGTTTCCCTTTCTCTGCCCTAGCAGGTTTCATTCAACTGATAACAGCTATGTAGAGTTGGCCTACTTTGTGTGTGTCATAAATACTCCCGTCTCACAAGTTTAGTTACAGGTATCACTCGCATATCTTAGGATCTTGTGTGTGTGTGTGTGTGTGTGTGTGTGTGTGTGTGTGTGTGAGAGAGAGAGAGAGAGAGAATTCCTTTGCTGATGTCTCTGCCTGGCACAGTGAAGGAGCATGTGCACACAGCCCCACGCTGCCATGGAAGTCTAATACACAGACTAACGTGAAGACAGCAGTTACAACATATTAGCCTTAGACACCTAGGTGGAGGTGTGTACATATACCAGATGTGAATCCACCATAGAAACAGATTGTCACACGGACAGAAGTCGCCATCAAACTCTTTCCAAAACCTCTGCTGATACCTCGGCGCCTTGACTCGACTGTGTGTGTTCGACAGGCAGCGTGTTACAGCTCTTATCCTGCCTGCTGCTTGGTGACATACTGCTGCATTAGCATTTCAGCCCATGTGCTGTTTGCAAAAAAAAAAAAAAAGCTGTTAGGGATTACTAGAATGAAAGCTGCAGAAGAATAAAATGAACAGTGTGTTCTTGTTTTCACATCACCATTTTGCACTTGTAAACATTTGGCATACTCCCAATGTCAAGTAGATAAAAATGGTGTCAGAGGTCAAGCTGGAGTCCTGTGTCCAAAAGAAGTCGTCCTCTTGCCGCAAACATTAACATTTTGTCAGTTGACATTTTCATACAGGCATATACTGCAGCAAAAATGTGGTGCAAAGACTAACAAAACACTGCTTTTGAGAACAGGGAGTGTTACTAATAAATACACAGAGTTAGCAAGTCAAAGACACATCCTCAGATAATCCTCTCCAGCACAGTTGAATCTTGGAGATAAATCAAGATTGGTTCAAAGTTTGTGTAGTGTAGTCAAGTGGCTGTCGTTGTACAGATATAAACGTCCAGTCAAAATTCATCTGTAAAACTGAACCATGGCCAGGATGAATCATCGGGTACGATACGAAGGTTTAAGACTTCAGAGTGGCCTGGAGATAAGGAGTGGTGGGACTGTGGGAGTTGACTCCTGTAGTCTAGTAGTGTGGGACTGAACATGGGGGTCTAGGTATGCACTGTGGATTTGTAGGATTGTACCATATCCTGTAGGTATGAGTAAGTTTAGCCCCTTTTGCGCGTCCCATTCAAGGCAGGATTATTGTGCCAATTTTCCACCACGCTGTTCTGTATAAAAGCTACCAAGCCGTCATGGGGGGTCAGCGTTGACCTTTTAATCCAACCATAAGAGGTAGTAATTGGTGCAGCTGTTCCGCCTCTGCCTCTGTTTAAAAGGGAGAGGTGGCTTGTGGGCAAAGGGGTGTGAAGTTTTGATGAAGTGTTGTTTCTGCAACGTGCACTGGTGGATTTAAATTTTTATGTGGCTTGTAATAAACTAGGGATGCACCGAAATGAAAATTCTTGGCTGAAACCGAAAACCGAAAAAGAGGAAACCAAGGCCGAAAACCGAAACACCGAAAGAAATTATGCCAATTATTAGTACCACCATTGCATTTATGGCTATGACTGTGTACTAACTTTACTAAAATCAAGGCTTTGCAATTGCATAAATTAATATTAAAGTTTCAAAGAATAAATCAATTACAAATTATGCAAATATTTATTTAGCACATTGCAGCAATGCACAGTATAAAATAAAATTAAAACTAAAATGTTTAACTTGACCCCACTCATGTGTACATTAAATAATAATGTACAGGCCTATTAGCCTGCTGAAAGGTTGTAAAATTAAATGTTCTCTCATAAAAAAGTGCATTTAGGTCAAGTGCATTTTAAATTTTCTCTGTAGGGCTACTACAAGAAAGTGCAACTGCTTAAAGATACAATATTTTCTCTGTAGGCCTTCAACATAATAGTGTATCAAAACAAAGACTGCCATAGCCCGTGTTAACTGTAGAACTTTAACAACAACAAATGCACCAAGAATTGCAGATGTGCAAAGTGGATAATAAATATAAGCCCATTCTACTTCTTGAGGTAAAGTGGCAGGTTTTTCTTGATGAAGATTAACTTCTCTGCTTTATCACAGTGAAGTCTGTTCCTCTTCTCATCGAGAACATGAGCTGCTGCACGACAGAGAATGGCTGATCATCTAAGGCAATGAATTCCATAATCTTTTGTGTAATGCCATTTGCCTTGACACCATCACTGGGAAACTTCCTTGCCTTTTCAAAAACGTCCGCCACAGACGGAGTGGGCGTGCTCGGAGGCGTTTTCCTTTTCTGTGCCACGTTCCTCTCATATTCAGCGTAGCGATCGGAATGTTTGGACTTCAGGTGATAAATTAAACCCAACGTGGAGAAAGTCTTTGCAGATGCACCCCCTCTTGAAATTTCGCCATTACATGTTTTGCAAATCGCTGTCCATGGGTCTTTCTCAGATATACTGGAATACGTCCACACCGCAGACATGTTGCGTCAGACAAGCACGTACAGGTTGCGGTTTGTTTACGTCATCACAACGTTTCGGCTGTATTGCTTCAGCGATAAAAGCATTTCGGCCGAAAACCAAAAAATGCACTTTTGGGCCATTTTCGGCTGAAACTTTTCGGTGGCCGAATATTCGGTGCATCCCTATAATAAACCAAATATGTGACCATTATTGTTGTACAATATGCACAACAACTGAGTCCCGATCAAATGGTAAATGTGCAGGATGAGCAAAAACACATCTGTTTTGTTGTGAAAGCAGCAGTGTTACTGATATGCTTTGTATTTTCAACATGTATGTTTTATACAAGGTTACCTGTCACGCTAAACGTCATGTTAAACACCTTTAGTAGCAGGATGCAGGCATCTCTGTAAAAAGAACACAGGGGCAGCATTACAGCATGATGCTGCTTGTTAAAGTTCAGTTTAAAGAGGCAAAGCCACAGTAAGGATGTGCCAAGTTGTCTAGAAATATGCAGGTGTAGTACTACACCACTGCCATGGCTAATGACTGTGGGAATGTACCGTACTATATCCAGAGCTGTGGGACTGTACCATTTCTTGTAGGTATGGGGGGAGTTTTGCTGTTGTACTGGACCTGTGCTACTGTCCCAGTGTTGTATTGGCCAGTGTGTTAATTATCCACTGCTGGTTGTAAGCTGGGCTTTGTTTGAACCCAAGTGGACTAGTGTCTCCACGGTAACAGTAACCAACGTTATGCAAGCTCGACAACGGCAACCCTCGATGACCCACATTCCTACAGTAAATCGCAAAACACGCATGCACACACACTCTCCCGGCTCCACCCTTGCCTATTGAAACTTTGCTCAGTGTTTCCACTCTGCGTGACTGTGCCTCTGTCAAACTTGAGAGAGAGGGAGAGAGATTTAGAAAGAAGAATGTGTTTCCTTCATGCCAAAACACTAAACATTGCTGTCCGCTGTCTCTCGCCATTTCTTTACTGTTTTATCCACATGTATGAACCAGCCTCTTAAATATGAGTGTAAATGAATGTGAGCAGGAGACCACAAACACACCAACAGTGTGGAATTAATCTAGTTTAAACATTTACCTTAAATCACCCTGTTCACACGCAGCTGCAGCTGCAGGTTACACACACAAACACATAGTTTGTCAGCTTTAGAAAGTTGTTTGACCAGTTTTTTGCCTCTCTTAAATGCTGGCACGGCCTCTCTTTACAATTCACATTGCACGTTGCTTTGTTGCCATCCTGGCAGAAAGGATACCTACGCTGCAGGAGTCAGGGTTCTCCTGCAGCTGGTTTTGAAAACACATCGTCTTCTAACATCAGTTTCAGGCACATTCTTACCTTAAAATCCTTTCAGAAGATGGTCACAATAACAGGAATACAATCAACACATTAACTCTGCAGTCATTCTACTTTTGAACATTGTGTTGTGGCTAGTTTAGAGATGTTTATTTGAATCCATGGCAGCTCTCTGAGCTGTAGTTTGTGGTGTTGTATTGCTTCATATTGTTGCTGGGTTTCAGTTACAGTTGCTTCCATATTATTGCACTACTCCTGTGCATTCAATTTGGCTTCAATTAAGTGATAGAGGGTCATTTCTGAGCTGCTTGATCAACTCCAAAAATACTTGTTCCTGAGAGCGAGCTGATGTCGTCAGCCACTTTTGATATTGGATGAATAGCACATAGTCGTCCCTGGTAGATCTAAGACAGTTTTAGTGGCAGTTACAATGAAATATGAGGCCAGTTTCACTGCTGAGCCTTAACGTATGCATATGTACAGCACACACGACTGCAAGCTGTAGGTGCTGTGTCAGCACTGTGTTACATACCGTAGGTTTATATTGGGACTAGGTGTGTATGTACACTTTTGTTCTGTAGTAGACTTTGTGCAGAGAAAAATGTCAACATGAGTGCAATGCATTTGCTGTGTATATATAGCCCCAGGTGTCTCTTTCAAGCTGATGTTTTGGCATCTACTATTGGCACCTGCTATTTTGGACCTATTGTACTGTGTGTATGTGTAGGAATGAGAAGTTTCTTTAGCACCATGAACAGAGATAAACTACATAAGAAAAACAGAAATAGTGTTAACACTTTATCTTCCAGGTTTAGAGGCATTTCAGTCATTTGGTTTGAAATAAAGCCGCCTTCTATATGCTAAGATTCACGGTGTTCACGATAATTGGGTTATAGTTTGCATGTAAGTATTGCTGATGCAGACTGTATGATGGACTGTGCTTCACTCTGTCACTTGAACAGGACTTGGAGTTCCATGGCGTGATGCGGTTCTACTTCCAGGACAGAGTTGCCGGTAACTTTGCCACAAAGTGCATCAGAGTGTCCAGCACAGCGACAACACAGGATGTCATTGAGACATTAGCTGAGAAGTTCAGACCAGACATGAGGATGCTCTCCTCGCCAAAATACTCCCTATACGAGGTCCATGTCAGTGGCGGTGAGTCCTGTACAACAAGAAGGAAAAGACCTGCACAATCACACCAAACTTATCTTAACACTTAAATAGTTTTTATTATTGGGAATGGAAATAATTAAACATGGTTGGCTCTCAAATCAACTGGTGTGTTTGTGTGTGTGTGTGTGTGTGTTAGGAGAGCGTCAGCTGGACCTGGACGAGAAGCCTTTTGTTGGACCTGGACGAGAAGCCTCTTGTTGTTCAGCTAAACTGGAACAAAGATGACAGGGAAGGAAGATTTGTCCTGAAGAATGAGAATGACATCCTGCCCAAGGTCAGCTGTTCTGGTAAACTGTATGGCTCATAACCAGGCGGTAGGATGAGTTAGCTGACTCCTCTAATAAATCCACCTGAAGCACATAGAGCAGCCGCTAACATAGTATACTTCATATCTGGATATGAACAAAGTTTCTAAAGTCAATTACAACCCTTCATCAAACATGACTCGATCAGACTCGACAGTGACTCATTCAGTTTGTTCATTTGATTAATGATGATTGATTCATTTATTAATTCAGACACGAGTGTGTTAACACATGCGTTAGTGCGCTTCTCCACATCGTCTCTAGAAACGCCTCATGCGCTCTTTTTCTCTACTAGAAGAGTCAGAGTAACGGACCAGAGAAGGAGAAGGATGGAGTAATTCAGAACTTTAAGAGGACTTTATCCAAGAAGGAGAAGAAGAAGGAAAAGAAGAGGGAGAAGGAGTTTGCTCGAATCCCTGATGGAGACGAGCAGATGCTCAGCCGGGAGGACGGGTAACACATGCATGCTCTCAGCCATCCATCTTACTGTCCTGCATGTACATCCTCTCAGTCCTTAGAGAGGATCTTGTGTTTTTTTTTCAAAGCCAAGAAAAACATGAACGACTCCAGTAGAGAGAAGAATAGTGATTTAAGCTTTGACCTTTTTGTTCTTCCATCTGTCTTCTTTTTTTCTCCCACTTATCGTGTTCTCCCCCGTCATTTGTCTCCCTCTGTTTGTGGTTTAGGGAAAACAGTCGTCTGGCGGCAGAGGTGTACAAGGACATGCCGGAGACCAGCTTTACCAGGACAATTTCCAACCCAGAGGTGGTGATGAAGAGGAGGCGCCAGCAGAAACTGGAGAAACGCATGCAGGAGTTCATGAGCGGCGATGGGAGGCCTGACTCAGGTACTTACACTCCCAGCACATGAAGATCTTGTTAATTTTTGTAGGTTTTTTTTTTTTTTTATCTGCCAGACTCAGCTTGAGTCATGTTATCCAGTCATGTGTGGTTCAATCTTCATAGGCGGCATTGTTCACAGTGGGTTTCAGAGCAAAGACCAAGCCAATGACTTCACCGTCTGAGAGAGGATAGTGCTAAGGATCCAGATGAGAGTGTGAAGAAACTGCCACTCATTTGGCCGATTTCCAGCCATTTAATGTTGGGCCATGTTGGTTGCGGAGGGTGTCGAGCTGATGCTTCACATTCAGCATAGGCTGAAAGACAGGACAGACTGTGTATCACGCTGACATGTTTACACACACACAAAGAGACGACGCACAAGTTGAATGAATGAGACAAGCATGCTGACCAGTTTGGTGTGTGACTCGGGCACTACCTGATCACTGTGCCAGGCAGACAGATGGATCAGGGAACTGACTCTGAAAACAGCTTTAACCACTGTCCACATATGGTGGAAACACACACACACACACATACACACACAGTTTATGTTTCGTAGTCCATGGGGACTTTGACTTACATGCATTTCCTGTAGACTAACCCTAACCTTAACCAGAACCACTACTTGCCTAACCCTGACCCTAACCTTAACCTAACCTCATCCTAACCCTAACCCTAGCTGGGGGAAATGTGATTTATAATTGGCTCTATTAATTGGATACTTACCAGGATACCTGTGAAAGGAAAATTGGCCTACCTACCTGGATCCTGTGATAATAATTTGGTATACTTACCGGGACCTGTGTAAAGAAATTGGCTTACTTACCTGGTACCTGTGAAAAGAATATACTTACATTACCTTAACCTGGGGAGAACCACACTTACCATGGGGGGGCTTGCCCCTTCTTCATATGGACCGAACTCTGTTGAGCCATAACCCTAATCCCCAACTGATGCAAGGGAACCTCCCAAACTGGAACCAAATTACCGGGTCTTCTATCTGCTGTGGCCCGGTGCCAAGTTTGTGCATGTGCTCGGCCTCTGGAGGCTAAATCCAGCCCCAGATCCAACTCTGGTCCCGGGGGTAGGTCTGGCCCACCGTGAGGCTCAATTCTAATTGGCTTCCTGAAGGTAAATTAACCTCAGATGACCCAGAGCGGGAACAACCCCAGCATCTCTCCAAAACCATCTGGTGGGCCTCTGACTTGTGCTGGCTGGGCACACCGGGCGGCGTATTGGCCTGTGCACCCGGAACTCACCCTTTCCCTTAACCTAACCTCATCCTAACCCTAAAATTCAATTTCTTGCCCATGGGGACCTCAATTTAGGGACCGTGAAATGGGTCCTCATGAGTTGGTATGGAGTCAGGAAGAAGTCCCCACGTAGCAGGAAAAACACGTCCACACACACACACACACACACACACATTGTGACAGGATGGTTTGCGGTTAGACAAAGACGCTCTCCCAGCTAAAAGTGCTATTTGAAAAGCTTGTTTTGTGTAATGCTTCTGAAACCCTGTTTGCCTTGTTGAAGACTCCCTTGTGGGATTTGCTAAGGTGATCATTTCCAGTTGACATATCAGGGTCACACAGCTACTGTACATGTACCTCTGAATGAAAGTCTCTTACACAGTTAGATAACTTTCACGAGCACTACACTCAGCACCTGCACTTTAATGAGTTTTCTACTTTCCAGGAAATGTAATTCTGCAACTTCCCTAAAACACACAACAAAAACGAATCTGTGCACATGTGGTATGTGAAAATGTAAGTTCATAATATGGCAGAGCAGAGGAAGATGTTGTGCTCTGTTCAGGTCATGGTTGATCCAGTTACAGTGTGTAAATTGGAACTAAGTGAATGTGTAATAAAAGGGCATCAGTGGACATCTCATTTTGCCTCATGTTAACCTTGGGGATGACGTTAGGGTGACGTCTGTGTCTTTTGGTCCAAATGGTGTTTCAGATGCTTTTCCAACTAGTACAAAACATCTTGGATCTTTTTAATGTATTAAAATATTAATATAGGATTGTATATGGGATATTAAAATAGGATTTTGAGTGTCTACAAAATGTTTTTCAAGGATGATTTGGCCCTTGAATGTTCAGATGTTTCTCCTTTGTTACTCTCCAAGTAGTGGAGTAATTAATAGTTTAGCCTTTCATTTGTTAGCAAGGTGCAGTGGCCAACAAAATGTGTTTGTACCCTCTCGCAGGAGGCACTTTGCGGATATACGCAGACAGTCTGAAGCCCAACATCCCCTATAAGACCATCCTGCTATCAACAAGAGACACGGCAGACTTTGCTGTGGTGGAAGCGCTGGAGAAGTACGGACTGGAGAAGGAGAATCCCAGAGAGTACTGCATCGCTCGGGTAACAGCACTGCAACTCCTTTGCGTTCTAAACAGGAGGACCTCCATCCTCACTGAGAACACACCTCCTCCACCCTCTTGTCACTAAACATATATTTCCTTTTTAGATGGATGGTTTTGTCCAAAAAGGGTGACAAGTGTTTAACTAGTTTACTACTTGTTTTGAGGAACATGAAAGTTTTTGTCCTCTGCTTCAGAGACTTAGTGATCTCCAGCTGGTGTGGAAACCATTAAACAGATATAGTCAGACTGAATATACTGGTATTTGAGTGAGGATCTATATGTCATAATTAAATACATTTGCTGTCTATCACCTACATCCCCCCATTTCTCCATTAAACACAATCTTGACCCTCCTATCTCATCACTAAACACCTCCATCATCCTTCTAAGAGGCTGTGGGGAATACAGCCAGGGTCAGTCTCACGCATGCACACACACATAAACAGATACACACTCTTCAGAAGACTGCTTGGCACGGCAATCTATGGGAGGAATGCAGTTCAATTGCTTTCAGACTGAGTGCTCCAGCAGCAACAGATGCTCTGCGCCTTTGTGCGTCTTTCGTTGTGTGTGTGTGTGTGTGTGT